TGTTTTGACAAGTAAAGGTTATAGACCGTCACGTTCAGTGGAAGTTGGTTCTGGGAAGAGGCAGAGAATTAGAGAGCATCTTTCTAAAACAAAGTTTCAAAGTGCTGCTAAAAACAAACATTAAGATACAGGGAATAAAACCAAATGGACAAAACGCATAGAATAAAATGGGAATATCAGAATGCAAAGGATAAACCCAAAGCAGGAAGACATGGTGAAATATATTTAATCTCATATCTGCACCTGATTATTATTCTATAGGAGGGAAAAAGTGCTCTGACTCAGTTGTATTTCTTTAAACCAACCATAATTGTATCAGGCGGGGTTAAACGAAGGCTGCAGTGTCGCTCTGAAATTGTGACGAGGGAAATTGTTTTAGTGGGACATTTGTTTGCCGAGTGCACTGTCATTAAAATATAAATAAAAGGTCTCACTGCATGATCCCATTCCCAAACAGTAGTTTAAGAAAACTTCAGTGAAATAGGAGAAGTGGAAAAAAAAAAAAGTGAGAAAGCTTTTAAAAAGAACAAGATGTTGATAGAATATTACAAGAGATGTTCTCTATGCAGAGGGAACCATGGAGGAGGAGGAGGAGATCAGCGAAGGACAAGTCACAGACCTTCTTGCTGATGTGGATGAAACTGCATTAACCAGCAGCGGCCTTCGGCCCTCCACCATGAATCGTCCCAGCAGCTGGACTGAAAGACGACGCAGCGCCAGGATCTGGAGCAGAGCCGGCAGGAGTCCAAGTGGTCGCCCACAAATCTGAGTGCCGTGAGTTTATTTAACGAGCTGTTCATGTGACGATTTCACACAATGAGCTCATTTAAAAAAAAAATCATAATAATAGAGTGTAATTATGACAGATTTCTGAAAAGATTTGTCTGTGCAGAAAGAACAACCAGCTCCACAGTATGACTGCAACACTGCAATATTTGTATAAATAAATAATATTAGTCATAATACAATATTTTATGGAACATCAGCACTAATACTGTGTTCCTTAGAGCTCAACTTTTTAAATTTTTATCTTCAAAACACATTTCACCTGGGGAGCCATTTTTAACGTTTTTTTTCCAGACGTGTAATTTCCACAGCCATGCAGTTAGGTAAGGAGACACACAAAATTGTTCCCAGCGGATGCAATGGATTACTGCAGCAGAGGCCAAATGATTAATTATTGGACCGAGAAAATGGACAAGAGTTCATAATTTTGAAAAAAACAACAACAATAAACAGTGGTATTGGATCCCCAGAAAGTCCTTGTAAGCATCAGTATCAGTATTTCCTACTGGAAGTCTTTAGTCCACATTTCATCAACTTTTGTCTAACGTTAGTACAAGGTGTGACATGACATTTACTATTGGCTGTGAAAGTTATATTTGTGGAGACAATGAGCCCTTAAAATGGCATCCAAGAAAAGATGTTTTTCTTTTTTTCTTTTTTTTTTGAGGGTTAAAAGATAGAAGTTTCCAGTGGTGAAGTATTTTACAGAACTTAGATTTGGCTCCAAAGTACCAAAAAATAAACCCAGCAGAACAGAATGACATATGACTTCTGTGTCAACTGACACAGACTGACCCAGAACAGTCACACATCACACTTTCAAATACAGAAATTTACTGACCTGCCACCAAAACACTCTTGTGGCGATAAAGTAAAGAGCCCATCCTGCTCCAACCTGTGCAACTACGTGAAAGCTCCATGTTGAGTTTTATATTTCCCTCGAGTTGCTTTTATTCATTGTATGTATTCCAACGTGTGAAATACTTTTTATTTGGAATTGCTTGTCTTGACCAGGACTATCTGGAACAAGACATCTCAATTAGAGGTGTTGCAATATACTTTTACTGACGATAATGGTGATATTTAAAAAAAGAAGCACTGATATTATGATAATAATGCACAAATTTTAATATTATAAACACAGTAACTATCTGGTTAAAAGTCAAACACTTGGACACGGTACGGTTATGATCACAGATTCTCTCTCCACCTCACTACTTCTGATTCATTTTTCAAAAACACAGAACAGAGTAAGAAAAGTCAAATATGAATTCTCAGTGGACAAGAGTTTCTGTAGAAGACTGAAGACAACTGATGATGAGCAGCTCATGCAGATGATGTCAACTGTTGTCTGTTATGTTCAGCACTTTGTGTAACATTCTTCTCTCAACAAGTAACTCCAGGAGCTCCAGAGCAGTCAAGTAATACCAAGCTCAGTGAAATCTTTCTTAAATGTCATGTGCCATATTAAGTTTTAGATGCAGAGGAGTAAAAAACAAAACCAACATTTGTCAGCTTATGTCTCACGATTTGTACTTTTCTTTAGGTAGCTTCTCAGGTTGCTGATATTTATTGCAATGAATGCGCCGTTTTTTTTTTTGTTTTTCTTTTTTTTAAAAAAACACCTCTGGAATTCGAACCTTTTGAAACTGGATTTGCCTTTGGTTACCATGGAAACCACTAGTACATTTCTAGATCCTCAGTGACTCTGACCTGCGTAAAGATGTCCGCTAAACTGCGGGAGTTCATGAAATGTCATCGATATAAACGTTGAGAAAAAAACAAAACAAATCAAAGGGCAAAAATTGACTGGAAGAGTCACACGTAAACTGTTTCATTGTTCTCAGTAGTTTGTGGGATGTGTTTTCAAGCTAAGGTTGTCAAAAAATGCACAAAACTATACAGTGGAGATTCATCCGTTACTGCTACTTACTTACTGTCTTTTTTAAGCTAATGTTTTCAAGATCAAATATATTTTAATGCTCAAAATAGAAAAGGATGTTTTTTTATTCAAGTATTTGCATCACGAGTCGTGCTGTCAATGCTGGTATTATTGCAGTTTTGGTGGGTTTCACTGGACTTGCTGTCTTTATTTGATTTTGTCAGCGCTGCTTCATTGGTGGACGACTCTGTGGCTGAACAGACGAGTCACACGGGTGGTGAAGTGAGCTCGTTGGCAGAGGTAAGTCCTTTTAACTTGTAACTGCTGTGTGTAGAATTTAAACTCGTCCTGTTCTGACTACTTTGGCACATCTCAGGCGGTTGTGGTTACGTGTCCACTGGCTGCTTGGAAACATCTGCTGCACCTACCTTGTTAGGGAAAAACCCTTGAAGGCGTGAAGACGAGAACAATTCCGTTACTGTCTTCCGAAACAAAATGACAATTCAGTGTGTTTACTAGATTTTAGTGGCAAATGTCAGATAAAACACTTTCAGATTTTATCATAAAGAAAAACGTCAACTTTGAGCAGCCAACAGAGGTGTCTTTATAGCAGCAGACCATACTCTGTTGTCCAGTTTTAAATACACGCTGAAAGTGATGAAGCCCTGTTACCGAGTTCCCTCTCATCCACATTTCAGCCAGCAAGTTGTAGCAGCCCTTTATAGACAACCACAAGCTACATCTATCCACAGCTTATCACAACATGCTGCCATTCTTACAAATGATTGGTGAACATCTAGTTTCTAAAGTCGCACCGTATTGGAATTTAAATGTAGATATGTTTTTTTATATTTGAGAGGCAAATGGTTTGAATTTACTTCTGTAAACGTATTTGTTATTTGCAGTTTGCTACAACTTCCTGCCATATTGACAGGCTTTTATGAGAAGACGCAGTCGTAGTCTGTTCGGTGAACCTGTGTTTATTTTGAAAAAGCACTGTAACTCTTTGTATTTCTTGTTTTCATTTGAACATTATGAACCATGATTTCAAAGCTAAAGGAATGCCCGACCATGATTGTTGTGTACCGTCACATCCCAACCTCTCCCGTGTCATTCGGAAGCATTTGCCATTTGCACTGCTGTAAAGGGCCCTTTGTCTTTCCATCTGTTTTTTGCTTCAAAGGACCAGACCTGCAAGAATCCACACAGATGTCTTGATGAGGGAGAGAACAGTTTCAGTGACGGAGAGGTGGCTCAAGCGACCCAAGCTTAAGAGAAACCACATTGTTATGACCGGTGTGGAAAGACGTTCAGGCATTGTACAGACTGAAAGATCACTTGCTCGTCCACACTGGAGAAAGGCCTTACGTCTGTGACCAGTGTGGGAACGCTTACATATCGTCAACCAATCTGAAATGTCATATGCGCATCCACACTGGAGAAAGGCCTTACCTCTGTGACCAGTGTGGGAAGGCTTACAAACAGTTAAACAAACTAAAAAGTCATACACGCATCCACACTGGAGAAAGGCCTTACTTCTGTGACCAGTGTGGGACGGCTTTCAAATGGTTACACGATCTGAAACAACATACGCGCATCCACACTGGAGTAAGGCCTTACATCTGTGACCAGTGTGGGAAGGCTTACAAATGGTCAACCAGTCTGAAACATCATATGCGCATCCACACTGGAGAAAGGCCTCAACTCCGTGTGACCAGTGTGGGAGGAGTTTCACACAGCTCGCCCATGTGAAATAAGCTAAATTTGAACTGTATAAAACAGGTGGTTATTAATAAATGTTTTGCAAGAGTTGACATGAAACTGTCTGTATAGCTTTCATGTACCAGCAACATAAATTAGCAATTTGTTGGTCTACTTTGAGCGACAATCACATGAGTACACACACTAACACCATGCAAGAGTGAGGCACCAATCACATCTTAATACAACAATATAAGACCACGGTGAACTGAGGCATCTTACAACACTGTGCTGCTTTGTTAAATCTGAATGAACGGCAGAGCAGAGTGTATTTCAAAAGAGTCGCCAGTAAGACTAGTGTAGCCCAGTAAGGCTGTGCTTAGTTATAGTGGTGCTTTGGGCTACATGCAAAGGAGAACATGATGCTCTCAGTTACAATGTTAACATAGAAATGTTTTGCAGGTCTAATATTTGATAGGTTTACAATCTTAACTGAACATGCTATCATGCTATCATCAAGCTCAGCTGAACAAACCGACATTACTAGACACATCGTATAGATCTCCTCCATGCAATTCATTGACTATTTCTGGAGATATTTTACTTTTGACAAAGAGTTGCCATCACTGCGCCCACATGCAAACACAGAACCTGTGTTTGTGTCAGATCTCACGACTTCTCCAATCAGATTGTTATCACATCACTTAAAAGTGTGTCAGTGAGTTTTTTGATACAGTTTTATATCACATATATAAGTTATTTCATTGCCGGTGGTAACAGTGGCCTTGATGACGCTGATACTTCAGGAGAACGAAAGCCTCAAGGCTAAGTGTGCACCGGTTCACCGCACGGCATTCTGGTCGTTGTAGTCCGTTTTTGCACTTCTTCGATTGTTACCACTGCAGAGGGTAGACATGACTGCGACCATGATGTCTTCGGGCAGCACCATCCTGCAGACGTCTGAAAATGATAACGGAGGTCTGTTGTTTAGCTCAGATATTATAAACATATGCCGAGTTCACTGTGCTTTGATGCCGCTGGTCTTAACGACACAAACGTTAGCTAGGGGGGCAGATTTAAGCTAGCAAACAGGCTAGCTAGCATGCTAAGTAGCTCAAGCTGAGTTGTTAAGTTACAGATACAAATGTACAGTATTTGCCTCATATAAATAGTGGCATTGTTGGTCGGTTTCAGGAAACAAGAGGATACCGTGTCCGCTGCACGGCTGTAAGCGGGTGTACGCAGACAAGAGCGCTCTTGAGAGCCACATCCAGGACCATGAGATCCCGGCGCAGTCTCTTCCTGGTGAGCGAGACAACACACATCTTACTTTGTCGTAGTGGGAAAAGCACCGATGTGTGAATGACTACTGGAGGTCCGCCTCCTGTTATGGCTGTGACACCCGATGGACCTGAGTTACCATTAATGGTTAACTCCACTCGTGCCTTTCAGGAATTCAAAATGTCTATGTGTTATGTGAAAAATGTCTATTCTACTAGTTTCTGGATTGCTGTAGTATAATACAGCAGGACCAGTTATTTATGCTCAGTTAGGTCTTGTGTCTGTAGGGGATGGTGTAGGTGGCAGTGGTAAGAGGAGAAGTGGGGGCTGACTGGAGCTTTGGGGCAAACTGAATTTGTGGCCAGTTTGTAATGCAAGCTCTGCACCACTATCCATTGAACTAGTCAGAGTGACCTTGTACATATCTGGAATATCTGGATAACTAGTTAAATTTAAGTAATAAAAGATATCTTAAATTAGAGGGGGCACTGGGATCTTTCTGCGTGGAGTTTGCATGTTCTCCCTGTGCAACCTGGGTTCCCTCCAGGTTCTCCGGCTTCCTCCCACAAGTTCAAAAACACGTTGAGGTTAATTGGTGATTCTAAATTGTGCGTAGGTGTGAATGTGAGTGTGTTTGGTTGTCTGTCTCTAAGTGTAGCCCTGTGATAGACTGGTGACCTGTCCAGGGTGTCCCCTGCCTTCACCCTAAGTCAGCTGGGATAGACTCCATCTGCAACCCTAGTGAGGATTAAGCGGTGTGTAGATAATGGATGGATAGATAATGAATGGAAATGACATTGCATCTACCCATAGTTTCATCAGAAGCAACAGCAAGAGACTGCTTGCTTTTTAAACAAACTGTTACCATCATGTCAAAGCAGCCTGAAGCCAAGCTCCAGTAAAGTTTGACAAGAATGATGAATGAAACTCTCATTCTCTGCAAACTCCTTGCTATGATCTTTGTATTGACAAGGCAGCTGCCTTTACTTCTGTTCCTATGTATCAATTGCTTTGTTGGACCGATATCTAGTGGGAAGCCTCGCTTTAGCAGCATCATGCACAGCAGTTTAGTGTAGTCTTAATGACATTTGAAATACATGCAGTTAATATTTTAGGCAATCAAAACTAACTTACAGATGTCTCCAGCTGTCATTTTGACTGGTCAGAGTTATGTTCTAGATATCTTGAATAACAATTCTCAGTAGTCACAGTGTAATTACACCTTGTTAAATTATGTTGATAATGATTATTTAAGGCACAGTTGGTCAGCACCGTTGCCTCGCAGCAAGAATGTCGCCGGTTCGTGTCCCGGTGGGGGCACCAGGGATCTTTCTGCATGGACTTTGCATGTTCTCACTGTGCAGCGTGGGTTCTCTCTGGGTTTTCTGGCTTCCTCCCACAAGGTCCAAAAACATGTTGAGGTTAATTGGTGATTCTAAATTGTCTGTAGGTGTGAATGTGAGTGTGCTTGGTTGTCAGTCTCTAAGTGTGGCCCTGCGATAGACTGGTGACCTGTCCAGGGTGTCCCCTGCCTTCACCCTAAGTCGGCTGGGATAGGCTCCCAGTAACGTCACGAGTTCTGGGACATTGCTGTCTTTTTCTTCTATCCATAATGGCTGTAAAGAGATCCACTTCTCATGCAGCTCTGCTGTAGTCCATGAAAGGAAAATATGGATGGTCTGGGTTTATTAAAATGCAGTCTTGACTTTTTATATTCGCTGTCATAATTAGGACAAAAACGTTTAAAAGGACAACAGCAGTATCAGTGTGACAAGAATTTCTCTCCTCAGGTAAAGTGTTGATGTGCTCCACCGTTGGCTGCAGTGGCTCCTTCCCAAACATGCAGAAACTGATGGAACATATGAGACATCATCACAAACCCAACTTATTTTTCCAGTGAGTTGGCCTGTGTTGTACATTGACTAATAGCTGGTGTGCTGAGAATTCATTGTTGCAAATGTTTTGAGTCACATAGTGTTTCTTCTGTTTCTTCTGTAGGTGTGAGAGCTGTCGCACCAAGTTGCGGTCCTATCGTGGCCTCCTGACTCACCTGCACACCTGCTCCAAGGTACCACGGAGCAGAACAAAGCCTCCTGAACTGACACTCCCTTCGCCTGCTGCTGGGAACCACCCAAACGTGACCGCCACGGCCATGGATCAGCAACCCCCACAGCTTGAATCAGTGTCTGCAGCCCAGCAACTACCTTCTCAAATGCCAAACCAAGATGGATCCTTTCCCACTGCAGTTCCACAGCCAGACTCTGCTGGACCCCCTCTGCTCGGTCCACCCATCTTGCCCCTCCCTGAGGCTTTCCCTCCTCAGCTTGCTCCCCCACAACTCACTGAGGCAACTCACCAGCCTCTGCTCAGGAATGAAGCCTCTAATCTGCCATCCTCCCTAAACCTGGATGGTCCAAAAGCAGCATCTGACCGCCCTGATGCCCAGGGTCTGCAGCAAACACAGAGCAGGTCTCATGAGTCTGTCCACCCTGCTTCAGGATCAGCACCTCACTCTCCTCCTGGGTCAACAGCTGTCTGGAAGAAGAATCAAGGTGAGCCTGTCCTCCTGCTAAAGCTGTAGCCAGCAAAGTTTGGTTGCATTTTCCCTTTCATAGTAATCTGGTCATCATAGCTATACAAAGCCTGAGAGAATCACTCAGGCTGCACACGTGTTGTTCCGTTTGTACATGTAGCTGTGTGACCCTAAAAACAAAACCTGAATTATGCAAATTGTGGACACACAGCTATAGATTTTACAGTTGCTTGGTTCTTATTGTTATATTACTTTCTAGTTTGCTTTGAGTCCTTTGGGAGGACTTTGTTCCATCAGCATATACGCATTCTGTGCGTGCACACTGCTGCTCTTATAGCACAGTGGCAATGCGGTGTCAGATTTTTGGCTGCACATACACTTCTGCAGAGGGGTCTGTGTAGATTCTCGTGTAATTAGGCAAATGACAAAATGTGCATCACACAGACACTAGCAGACCATGGGAAGTTTATCACCTGCTTAAGACTGGTCTAAGGGTAGTTTGTAGTTTCACATACCTGTGCACTGAATAATGCAGACTGTGAATGTGGACAGCAGATGTATACATAATTCCATTCATAAACTATATTGTCTGTTAGGTAGACGCATCGCATTGCCCGTCCTGTCAAACTGTGAAAAACACACAGGGTTCCTGTTGACGTTTTTCTAAGGCTGTGGGGTTGCATTTTTAATCAGTTATTCCTGAGGTGTTTTGAATACAGTTAGCACTGGATTTCTGGGGAATTTAGAACGAATTTAGAAAGTCAAGCAGTGAAGTAAAGTTCCCGTCCTCGTCCTGTTCTATACTCATGTCACAGTGAAGCATCTCAAACCATGTTGAACATATTCCTGTTAAAATGGAGCAAGATAAAACTAACAGTTCATCCACTGGTGTATGCATTTCAACCAGTACGATGTGGAAACCGTGCAGTGGGAACTTTACTTCATGGTTTGTCGTAGGCGTTTTTTGTTTGTTTTTTGCGGAAAAAGCCAGCTGAAAGGACTCATCACAAAGGGAAGAAACATGAAGACGATAATGGAATTGTAAATACCTGAGGGTTGTCTAAAGTTTGGAGTGTTGACTGACTGCTTTGAACCTAAAGTCAAGAAAAATGTTTTTTAGAGGTTTGCACCAGCTCTGAGCTCTGGTGTGTAGTCTATGGTATAAAATGACGTGTGTTGAGAATACTTTGATGACCGGGTGCTTCAAATGATTGTAGTTCTTTTTGTTTGTTTGTTTTTCTGACAGTCATTTTGGTTGCTGTATTGTAAAGCCTAGCTCCCATTAGTCTTTCACTGTCTGTTTTTAACTAAATCTGCGAAGGTAACCAACCGCGTGACGTCACCTGTTTTTGTACTCCAAGATGGCAGCACCCATTGAAGAGAAGACACAAAACAATCTTCTTTTTCCTTTTATATGGTTACGTTTGTTTGACACAGTGGAAATATATGTAGTGAATTATGCTAACTTGACTGAGTGCTTCATTTTTCTTAGTTTTTTGTTTTTTTCTTTCCCACTGTCGCTGACTACTTGCTCATGGGAGATCCAAAGGGAACTTTGGATTGTTGGGTTTCCTGTTCTAAATTTGTAAAGTCTTCATCTTACTATTTTAAGTGTTATGAGATAACATATGTTGTGAATTGGCACTATATAAATAAAATAGAAGTGAATCGAATAATACATTGGTGGCAGTTATATAAACTTCAATAATCCAGAGTATGGCTGTGGAGTAGGGACACTAAGTGAAACCTGGATATCAATCTGGATTTTTTCTGTGCTTTTCAGGGCTTTGTGTGTCTTACTGTGTGTATGAGGGCACAGTGAGTGCAGAGGGTAGAGGACAGAGAAGGAGATGAAAGATGCTAAAGGGCTGTCAATGCTAAGATAATATCTGATATTATTTACCCCAAATATACAAATAAAAAAAAGAAAGTCTGTTCGAAAATGTAATTAAATATTTTCCTGTCATATGTAGAAGACTTCTAAACATTGATGTAGGACTAATGTCAGTTATTGATTTGATATCAGCCACAACTATCAATAATTGTTATCCACCCTGAATGGTAAATGGTCTGCACTTATATAGCACCTTTCTACCTCGGTGGTACTCAAAGCACTTTACAATGTTTCCTATTCGCCCATCGGGAGTAACTTGGGGATCGAATCGCCAATCAGTCAGTGGGCAACCCACGCTACCACCTGAGCCACAGCTGCTCTAAAATTTCATATTGGTGTATCTCTAAAGCAGGGGGTTGTACTATGACAATTTCAACAATTTCCTTGAGGTACCCTACCAAAGGGACCAATAAAGTTCTATCTAATCTATGAAGCAAGTTTAACATAGCCAGGCTTTCTTTGTGTATGTTGGCTCTACAAAAACAAACCCCCTGTCAAAGATAACAGGTATCATGAAGGTGGTTTTCAGCTTTCTTTGTTAATTCAGACTTTCTGCTTCAAACACTGCACATTCACATAAAAGAGGGCGTTTAATATGTCATTTGACTCTAATGCACAAAATGAAACCATTGTGTGACCTACTTCAGTCAATTGGTTGTTGTAATGGAGAAAAACAAGAAATATAAAATGTTATGATGGTATAAAGTGCTGCTAATGCAAATGATACAAGACAACAAAGCTGGTTAAAAAAAAAAAAAAAAAGATAAAAACTGTTAAACATGTTAATATATTTGTTTTACCGATCAATACAGCCGCTTATTTCGAACAGACAGCTGCACATTAAAGTTGTTAAACTTTAAACTAAATATATTTAAACATGATCTTGTATTGAAGTGCATTTAGGGTTGACAGTGTCCCATAATGCAGGATGTCACTTGAATTTTTGGCCAAATCAAAGTGAAATTGTTGTTACTGATTGAATCTTCTCTGTAATACATACCAGTAAAATAATAAATGTTCTGATCTCTGTTAAAGCAAGCTATTTACTGTGTCATTGCTATTTTTGCCCAATCAGCTACACAGACCCTCACATTTCAAACTCTGCTCCACCTGCCACCTTTTGGAAAGCTGAATTGTCCATAATTTTTACTGCAAGTAACTGCTTTAACATTTCTGTAACAATTAGGGTCTGTCAGAGAGAGTACCCAAAACCTCATACAGTGTTGATGTGGTTCTTGTGATTTGATAATTATCTATTTATTTGAAAATAATAATTTGTCCTTTCATGCGTTAGGTATATCCTGCAACAGACGCATCCTGTGGGAGCACACCAGAGGGCGCTACACCTGTGTGCAGTGTGGACACACTGTAACCAACCGCAAGGAAATGACTCAACACATCAACAGTCAACACAGTGGTAGCAAAGCTGCAGAAGACACAACAAACTCTGCCAATAACACATAATGTGGAAACGCTCATTTTCTGTGTCTGTCGAGGTTTTAGACAAACTGAACACTGTTTATGTCCAGTATGCTTTTACTATGAAGCGCCTGCATGAGTGAAGTCGATGTATAAAGTGATGATGTGAATTTTTTCTGGAAAAAAAAAACGTTTTAATTAGCAGATTGCTGGGTCACAAACAATGTGCTGTAGAGTTGCTGTCATTTATTCTGGGGATACTTGACTGAAGGTTGTTGCCATCAGATGTTTTGAACTACACAACATTGCAGCACCTGAATTGCTGGTGAAGATTTGGCTATTAGTGACACATTTGTAGATCATAAACATTTGATGCTCTCTTTCTCAATTAACTACAACACAGAGATCAACACTGATCAGACATAAATCATTGTGCAGTGTTGTTTGTTACAGATAGGATGGAAAAGCAAACTTGACTGATGTATTTACTGTGTGTGTATTACACAGACATTGTTACTCCTTCACATGATTTGCTTTATTAACCTTTTCTCCGATTTTGTATCAGACCAATCACAGGATACAGCTGCTGTTATTCTACAGTTTGTCAACTAATCCAATAAAAGAGCTAAACCAGCAAAGTATGTCTCTAATTCTGTACTCTATGCACATCCCTCAGCCTGTGTAATCTTAAACTTTCAAAGAAATTTCCTAAGACTGCATGTGTTTGGGACTTTTGGGAACAATGTTGTACCCACAGATTAAGCAGTGTCTGTGGCAGCAGCATGTCAAGGTGAGTTCAAATGAACTGCAGTGTTTGTTCATGGGGATGAAGGAAAATGTAACTCAAGTGTGGCTCACTGATGTATTCTTTAAGAACTGCAATGATTAGTCAATTGTAAGAAAAATAAACTTAACTATAATCCATACATATTTTTTGTGACCTTGCAATTTGCAGCTTCTAAACAGGCAGGATCTGCTGATTTTCTTTCTCTTATCATTGGAAATATATTTGGATTTTGGAGTGTTGGTTGGTCAAAACAAGCATTTTACAGAGGTCTTGTTGGGTTGTGGGAAAATCTAAGTGGCTTTTTTCTATGCATATTCTAGATAAATGCAGAAAATCTGATTAATTGATAATGCAAATAAAGGTAATTTCAGCAGTAGTTTTAATTTGGACAGTTGAGCTTTGAGTAAGAAGAAAGTATATCTAGTTTAATACAGAAGACTAATACATGTGTTGGTTTGGGTCTGTACATATCAACAAGAAAACACCATAGACAACTCCAGCCCATCCTTTCACTCAAGTGACATTGTGGTGCATGTATCATTTCACATACTTCTCAAATTCTACGCCAAACACCGTTGCAAGAAAGACAAGGTCAAAAAGGTCTGTTTTTATTTGGGTCAATCAGAATGAGTTGATACAAGCATTTTACTGTTCAGAGTGCCAGAGTTTAGTGAGCTTAGGCTCCGCTTCATGCCTCTGCACATCCACACATGCTCCCAGACAATCACCATCACTTTCCCCGCCTTTAAATTAGCATTAAACACCCGCCCAGCAGTGAGCTTTACAATAACTAACACATCAAGACAATACCACATAAGAGGTCCCACTTGATCATTGACATGTGAATTCGTTGACATTACCACATGCAGACTGAAGTGTTGTTTTCAACAAACACTTACCATCATGGTGATGAAGAAAATTTATTTTAATCAATCTATATAAAAAACATGTCTGAAGGGGGCGCTTCCACATCGGTCACAACATTATGCTGACAGGTTTTCTCCCTTCAGTTTTTCTATGTGTGGGTTTTAAAAGGAATTGCCTCCCTGCTCCATCTCAATGTCTTACAGCCCTGAAGTTTAACTCTGTCAATTTCTGTTCATTAAACAAAACCTTCTGTAATTAACTGGAAACTAGTGTTTTTAGTCCACAAGATGGCGGGCTGTTAAGAAATAAAACTCATCGTAAACAAGTACATACAAAAAAAGATTAGGTACCGACTGTCCACTTCCAGATCAGGCAATGTTGATTTCTTTTGTTTTATTATCACAACTATGTTCAGCTCAGTTCTCTTGAGGCTTTAAAAAAATCTTTTCTGGTCAATTGCGTACATCTTTCCTGCTGGAAGCTTCCGGAAAAATAAACTGTTGCCTCTGCTCATGTTGCCCTGAAATGACAAACAGGAAAGAAGTGTAAGTAATGGCTGAACTTACAGCACGCATGACCATAACTAAAAGGCAAATCTGAATTATAAAGGAAAAACAATTCCCAAATGTTGAAGGCCTATAAGAGCCTGTTAACATCACACTTGGACTAATACTATAACGTGTAGTCCATTAGCATGTCCCTTGGACATGTTTGGACAGCTCTGGGGTTTAGAGTTAGTTGCTTTAACATTGGATGTTGCCGTACCTAAAACACAACGGATGAATGATGAAGTGACTGGTATTAAGTCAACACTTAAACCCCATTTCCACCTGATATTGACATGTGATTTCTGGGTCTTTGCTAATCATTAGATTTTTTTTTAAATGCTCACTTGAGTCTGCAATTTCAGCTGATCTCAATATACAGATTAGTTAGGTGTGGCTGGCTGACCTGTCAACAAACATGAAGCCTTACATCACAGTTCAAAGGGAAACAGAGATGTTCTGTGGGCTGGATTTGTTACATGAAACCTTGACTAAACTTGATGGGTTTCTGTATCTTCTCTGGACTCACAGATAGCTTGTGAACAAATACTAGATTATGAACATTACTAGTCAAGACAGAAGCTGATACAAATGTCAACATGATTAAATCAGTCACTTATACATTTACTCTATTGACAGTTTGCAATCAGCTGATGTTTTAATCTACAAATAATGCAAACCAAAATAGGCAAATGCACTGGAGTTAATTTGAACTTAACAACAAGTGGTTGATGTCAAATAGGGATCTGGTCTGAAGATGTTAGCTAAACCAGTTAAAATGAGATTTTATGTGAACAGCTGAGCTAACTATGGTACACTGTGGTTCCCATCCAATGGCCAACTGATCTTGAATATGGTGATCGTGTAGCCTTTATGATCACTTTCTAGCTGTAGTCAAAAGCCAGCAAATCTTTGACTTGTGAAACTGAGATGTTTCTGCATAGCTTTCTTATTACATGTACAGTCTGAATTTGTGATGTCAATTCAATCATTTTTCTGTAATTGTCTGGAGTTCATGGTAAACACAAAGTGTAACCAGCACCAGTAAGTTATTAACTTAGTGGCAGAGGCTTTAGGTTTTTGTCTTCTGAGTGCTGCTCTGAATTGCTGAAAATTTTTGTTTTGGACTTCAAAGCAATAGCGGTGAACATGCAGTGATCCACGTGATGGTTACTATCACACAGGTGTTTGAAAGGAGTTTGGTTTGTGGTATATTTACCTCTCTGCTTAGATGCCTCCAGCAGTCCACCCAGGTGGGATATACTGATGCATAGGGAGGCAGGCCTCCAGCGAGCCTGACAGGACAGTGGAAATATGAGTGTGGTTGATCTAACACTTACAAGGTTTCAAAACAGCAAAGAACCTGTCAACTCACCCGCAGTTATTGACAGCCATGAGGTTTGACACCAAAACAAAGGGGTATGTGAGCATACTGGCAAAGAACTGCAAGTAAGAGCAGAAAAGGAACAAAATAAGACTGCAAGCTATAGACAGATTGGCGCACTGCTGATGTTTGTCGGACTCACCCCCGTCACAGCCTGAGAGCAGTTCTTGATTTCTCCTGTGTGACTCATCTGTAAAGACAAAGAATCATCACAATAATTCTGTATTTGAGCCGAGATTGAAGACTGCTGAACACAAACTTACACCTTATATGGTGGATTTGAACTGAATGAAAGATTTTTTTGTGTTTCATATAACTAATTGCAGCGTCATGTTCCTATTCTTATTAGTTTGCATACCGAGTCATCAATGGCGTATGTATTGATGAGGTGAGCCAGCAGGTTACAAATCCACAGGGACAGGACGTCACCCAGCAGGCGAGGAATCAAACCACTAAACAAGAATAAAAATAAAAAATAAAATAATAAACACTTTGAATGCAACAAAAACATTTTATACTGTGGATTATAGTCTGTGTACTGTAAATAAGAAAACACCACTGTGTGAAAATAAATTAGGTTTCCCACTCTGCCTTTATATGTAAGCTGTGCACTTCATTTTTAACCTCTTTATCTGTGATTGCTGCTCTGTCTATTCTGGCTTCTTAGGGCTTTCCTAAATTTACAACACAGTGGAAAACAGTTTAATTGTCATATAAACCAATTTGTCTACAAGTGACTGTCAGTCAGGGCTTATAAGCCACAGCATACAGTTTCTGCCTTTGTGGTTACAAGTTTATACTACAGGGCAATTATCTGTATGAAAATGAAAAAGGATCAGTGGTTCAGGAATGACAAGGACCATGATGATGGGATTCATTCTGAGCCTTTGTGTTTGGGTAAAAATTCACATTGATAGAGCAGGAAAACATTTCATGTATTATATCTGCCATTACTATTCTTTTAGTACTTCTATTTGGGGGATAATCCTGGATAATTTCCTTTGGGGACTGTAAACAGGATATATAATGTAGCACACTATGGATATAGGTTAAGCCCACTTTGTAGTTGATATTTGTACGTTGTTATTGAGGCAAACTGTCACCATTAAAAATAAGTACAAATCTTTAAGAGCAGCTCTTATTTGCAGTGCACCATGGTTGTCCACTACGGAAACTTTCTCAGTAACTTCTGCAGTTGCTTTATTTTCTTCCCCTCAGTGGATCTTTAGATGTTTATTTACATACAGAGATAACATCATCCGTAATACCTCAGCTCCAACTTGATATGCAAGCTTGAACATAACTCAGTGTTAGATTATCCATGCTCTGGCATACAATTTAGAATGAAGGCTAAATTGACGCACTTCCTTATTATTATATTAGATACACCAAGTGTATTGCAAAATGACTTAAAGTTGACCTATAAAGCAGAAAAACACAGATAAAGAGTGCCAAACTTACGCAAAGAAGCCAAGGATGCCTTCTTCTCTGTAGACCGTGACGATGGAATCGAACACCCCACTGACAACAGAAGAAAAGAACATTTTACGTTTTCATTCATTTTTACAGCTCTTTGCTTTGAGGTTTTTGTCTAAAACGTTAAAACTTTACCTGTATTTCGTTTCTCTCCCAATAAACTGGACCATACATCGCAAAGTAATCACTGAAAAACAAGTTAAAGGAAACATACTTGACATGCAGACTAGTGTCTCATCACACAGATCCAACCACAGGATTCAAATGTATCACAATCTCACCCACTTCAAAGATCTAGTATAATATCTGAAGTTATCACATGCATATACTGCAGTGAGTCAGATGAAGGCTGAACAGAGCCATGACATACCATGAAAGGGATGCGTGACGATGGTGGCACAGGAACGAGCAATCATCTCTTTGGTTGTCTGTGGAAAAGACAGAAAACTGAGACTGAGACTAACTTTTTATCTTGCCAACTATAGGAAAGGTGCATTTGATGTCTGGATAACGAACACCACTGTTGTCCAGTGTCAATACAAGCATGAAACTGTCCAGTCCACAACGACAGAAGTGAATGTTTAAAGTTGGCTACATAATATTCCCAAGGACAGCCGAGCATTTAGACCACAACGACAAAGAGGACGTCCAGAAGACGTGCTGTCAGAAGGTGGTTGTATAGGCTATGTTACACATGGCTGTAATAAACACGGCAAAAGATGTTGGAAACAAACCAGTTGTTTATCAAAATCATGAAGAAGAGGAAACAGAAGTTTGGCTATCTTAGGGAGAGAAATGGAATCATTTTACGTTGGGGAAGTTGTAATTATTCTTTCAGTTAGTTGTTATCGACCATGTTTCATGACGTCCTGAAGTGAAAAAAGGGAAACAATAGATCAGTAATGTGAGTTAAATGTTGGCTCTACCAGAACTTACTTGAAAAAGGTGTTTCCATCTCCAAATAAAGTGCATTAACGCTTTTTCCAAAAAGTCAAAAACCACTCAAGCAAGCGGAAAAACGTAGGGGATTTTTAAAAATCTAATCTTGCTGTTTTCATTAAGTTTTTCAAATGGGATACTTCATCATGAACATAAGAACTGATAATGGAACCATGGTATGTCCCTTACCTCATTAACAACATGCTGTAGGGAGCCCTCCACAGCCTTCTGCTGGCCACCCAGTACCTGGCCAACAGAGACAAACATCATCATCATCATCATCATCCACATTTGATGTTTTTTTTTTTTTTTCCATTTTATGCCTCTATTAGACAGAATATAGAGATGAACTGAAACAACAAGAGAGCACTGAGGGAGAAAAGGAAACAAGGGAAGGCAGGAGACAGTGTGGGTCATGGCCATAAACTTAACCTCCAAATCTTCTGGGGCAGCAAAATCAACTATGTTGTGTGCTGTTTTCACCCCAACCATGTGAACTCCAAGCTGATAATTACTTTGTCATCAAGTTTGAAGCCAGAACCAAAGGAAGCAAAAATTAAAGTAGTTAGCAACTGTGTTTCCTGGCATCTCGGTCTATCTTCTAAGTGTCTGCATTGAAAAGGGCTGTTGGACAGGGTCAGTGCTCAGTCTGTCAGCTGGACAGAGTTTAGCAGGATGTACAGAACACCAGCTAACAATCTGTTCTAATTTGTAATAGCACTTGTAAAAGATCCTACGGCGGCACTATGTTGGCGAAACTGTGGAAAAATAGGTGCTACCTCACATATTCTTTTGGGATTGTCCAGTTATTAAAGAATATTGGGAGAATGGCAAAATAGAAATCGAAAATATCCTGAATGTGGAGGTCCCACTGGAACCAGAGCTGTTTTTGTTAGGTGTTATATCCAAAGAACAATATAATCCAGATGAGCGATATGTATTTAGAATTCTTTCACTGATTGCAAAGAAAATGATCTCAGCGAACTGGAAGACTGCTAAACCACCAGACATATCCCAATGGAGGCAGAGACTGAAGAGTGTGTATATTATGGAAAAAAATGACTGCAACTTTACAGATGACTATGGATACCTTTGAAAAGAAATGGACTCAAGTTTCACAATATCTGAATGTCGAATGAAGGGTTGGAGAATCAGGGACAATATGAGGATGTGATGATGAATTAGGATATGTATATATGACCTATGATGAATTATGATGAATTATTGCTCCTATACCTGTACCTAAATACCCCCCTCCATCCTTGTGTTTTTCTTTTTTAAAATTAATTAATTAATTTTTTGTCTGTCTGTCGGTTTTACGTATCTATTTTATATTAGGTTTGGTGTTAGGTTTGTTGTCTGTATTCTTGTTGGTTTTGTTTTTTTCTGTTTGGGTGATGTTATGTGAGGGTCTGGGAATGAAATGCTTAAAGAAAAAGTTAAAAAAAACAATAATTTGTAATAGCACCAAAAAAATAAACAAAACAGCAAACTCTTACAACAATGAACTCTTACCTGAGGTGTGCCTTGTTCCTGACATGTCTGTAAGAAAGTAAAGAGTAGCGTTATCAAACTGCCAAACCATTGTAAATAAAGACTTTGTGAGCAGTTTATTCTACTATTACGCTACTAATACATTGGGCACCGGTATGTATCCCAGATGATCAGACTTGCGTGATGAAGCACATATAATCTAAATGTAACGGCATCCAAGGCAATCCCAACAGAAGGCTGAACAGAGACTGTATGTTGTTGTTGCAGTCTTAAAATAAATTTTTATCAATACCTTATCACAGTACAACTATATAACATATAACTATTAAGGATTATAACAAAACAGCGGTTAAAGGTGGTTTCACGGGGCTAATAAATAAAGAAATTATATTACATGATTACTGTCTTTTATGGTGCACTTCATCTTTTCAGGCCTACCTGGACAACTTTGCTGTGCACAACTGTGCCAATTGTGCCAGCACAGAGCCTTGGACCAAGCCCTTTGAAGAGACCCGCTTTTCCGTCAATCTTAATGATGTGTTTTGCTGAAACATTCAGAAAACATTTAACAGGTTACGTTATAAAAGGGATTTTAAACAGGTATAGATTAGTCAATAAAATATAACAACCACAACAACAATAACAATAAGAAGAAGAAGAAGAAGAAGAATATAGCTGAAAAGAGACATGTACACTGCCCAGTGGTCAAACACAAATAAACTCATTTAAGTTTTTTTATGGTCATATAGGTTAGCTTCTGTTTTTACTCTGTTCCACAAGGTTTAATGCAGCCATTCCATGACCAAAATTAAGTATATATATTTTTAAGAAATCAAAGTCATCATGATCAGATAGTTCCCAAAAATGCTGGTGTAACGTAGAGTGAGTGATCAGACAGCGTGGAGGCTAGGGCAGCAGTGCTGATAAAGCCTTGAACAGCTCTGCTATTTTAAGTTTTCAGGACTGTGCTAGTGAATTTTAAGTGTTTACAACTCACATTACTTATCTAAGTGAAGTCTTGTGATATCCACACAGCAATACATTCACAAGCAAATAATTACCAGACATGGCTTTTATTAAGTTAGCTGTGAATGGGTCATAAAAAGGGTTTTACTGACTTCAGAGTGAATGAATTTCAGCTACATGGCAGCATATAGACCAAAAATCCTGTACATTGAAATCTGATGTGTTCTCTCCGTGGATGAAGATCATTACAATGACAACAACTGTTGTTGCAAATCCATATAAGATGGGAGTATATTTAAGATAACATTCAGTTTGCATGTGTACAAGAAATGCAAACGCAAATACGTTTTGTACAAATCTAAATGTATTCTGATTCATTACATTTCCATAGCTAAAGACACATTAAAGGTCCCATACTGTGCCCTTTTTCAAAAATGAAATTTTCACATCTCAGGATTGTGTCTTTACATTTTTAGCTCGAAATACCACACCGACAGTTCAGTTCTCTGACTGTATAAGCCCTGAGTTTTAGCCCTCTTCTAAACAGGCCATTTCAGTGCTGTAGCTCTCTGTGTAACTGAAACCAACACCAAGATTTTCTGGCACTTGTAACTTTCTCTCTGAGCAATCTATTTACATGGAAATACTGCCTAGTTCACTGCACAGCTGCTGTTTTTATTTTATGTGTTGAGGGATTTTGTCATATAACATCATGGTTGTAATGTTATTTTAAATAATGTTTAAGAGGTGCAGCAGCTTGGAAATGGTTCTGAAGTGACTGCTGGCTAATGTCTTAAGGAAAATGAATGCTTTCTACATCCGTGTATGCATCTGCAGTGGTGTAAATATTGTCATCTCCCAAATCCACAGCAGTTCACATACACCCCATTGCGGACATCCACGTACAGCTCAAAATTTAGAACAACACGTGCAAGAAAAACAAATGGTGCTCAAGACAAATGCTTGTTTAGAGGAGAGACCATACAAAGAGATTCGCAGTGATCCACACCTTTACCATTCACAAATAAAATAGTAGATGCTAGTAGCTGCTACAGGACTCTGTAGGTGCTTCGATTTGTAAATGTTTTCTATAGACAGAGCCCAAACACAGCAGAAAGTTCTAAATTCTCCTGTGCTATGTTTGCCCACTGTCCATCGACCTGATGCTACAGCCAAATCTGTAAGACGCTGCTATATTTGGTAAACAGTTAACTGTGTCCATGTTTCCATAGCTTTTATTTTGACCCCTTTCAAATGAACAGTACAACCATTACACAATAGAAATGGATTTTCATAATATGGGACCTTTAAAACAAAAGCTACAAGATCAGCTGCCCACATATTGATATATAAAGCACTGTACTAGATGCTACTGACTCCATTTCTGAAAGAGCTTAACCTGGAGGGTCAGACTCACCATAAGCAAACAGTCCAGGTAGCTGGTAGACTTGCCTGCCAAACAAGTTCCTGCCCAGGGTGGGAGGGAGCGGTTCATGTCCTACCTGATAACACACATCAATAAAATGAAACAGTGACAGGCACCTTTCACCCTGACTGCTGTCACCTCTAACACACTTCCTGCTCTCATTTTGACAGATCGATTTGGTTCCGCATTGTCCCAGTTCCCTTCACTTTGTCATGTGCAGTCATTTTACAGTCTGTATCCAATTCTAACCTTTCTATGTGTGTATGTTGTCTTTAAATCAACTTTAACAGGAAAGCCTATAAAGTTGTCTAACAGACTAAGCTAGTTAGTTAGCAACTGCTAATGCTAGCTTACGAGCTATCTCAGTGGGATAAAGGGCACAATGACACAAGTTCCCAAATCCTCTGGTCCAAGTGCAGTCACATATGGTACACATGTACTCTGAAAAGCACACAGCTTACCAGACATATTATACATACAGTTAGTGGAGCTGACAGCCAGACAGACTGAAAACCACCAGCAGGTTAGCGCTAAGAATCGTTAGCATGTCCCGACATTTAACTGTTAGTGTTAAATGGGTCAATGGAGACACCTTGTATAGGTGTTCCAAGAACCAGGACTAGATGTCTGCATGTCACGGCAGGAAAGTGTGTGACAAAGCAGAAACACGGAGGATGTAAGGCTGGACTGGCAGCACTGCAGAGCTAATCTCCTAGCGGCTAACAGGCAACCTGACGGCCGCAGGTTTGTTAGGAAATAAGTTCTGTAGCTGCCTGGAAGTCTCTCTCAGGACATCATTCCTGTTCACTGAGCATACTGAACATCGACGAAGCAGCGGAATATTTCGGTAAAGCCTGAAGTGTGGAACACGGTCCACAGTACGCCTTTTTCCGCCCACTACAGAGTATTTTGAAGACGGAAGGTCACAGGGACAACACTCGGACGCGCAGTGGAGCTGACAGTTAGCGGGACATTGGCTGCTGTGAAAATTATATGTACGCTGAATTAAAGAGTGGTAGACATTCACGAAAGGCCATAAGTCGTGTTACTTACGCATCTGCTGAAAAACGAGGCAACATTAAACAACGATATTCTCAATGGAGCTGACAGTTTTCTATGTCACACTGACAGCAGTGTGATGAAACTGTGTTTACAAAGGCCGGCTCAGAGGCCTGAAAAAACTCCCGGACCACCAACATGTTCACAGCGTCTGCACCAACTCTTCCCCTCTTACCTGGATAAGGACTTTAATATACATCAGCGGGTGGGAGAGGACGGTTAGCCCTGATCCCAGCAATACTTGGCCACACGTGTCCGCCATTTTTGGAGAGACAGGGGAGAGCGGAAGTTATCCTATTTTCTTCTTGAGTGAGGAAACGGTAGCGGCCATTTTTGTTATGATAGAAGTACTTCCATCTAGTGTTCACTAAGGGCAGGGCGCAGTGAGCACACCTCTGTGCAATATCACTTAAATATCAAATAGATACAAATTGTATCATGTGCAATGTTTCTGAGGTGAAACGTGGGATATTTTTCAAATATTTTAGAAAGACTATATAGAAAAGGCCTCAAAGTAGAAACTCAGTGCAACAAAAGTGAACAAACTGTGTCTATGTGCAGGTCTGCTTCATGGTTCCACATGGAAAGAATCATTAGAGGAACTGAACAATGTCATTGTAGGCTTCACAAAGATAGAAATGGATCCAGGATGATCTATGACCAACAGAAAGTCAATGAAACACAGTTTTCAAGTCATGACACCATGACTCCATGAACAGTCATCGCACCACTAATGACAGCTTCAGTGGTTGTCATCTTAAAATGATGCCACAGACAGTGGTCAGGTTTCACAGTCTAGCTCTGAACTCTTCAAATAATGGACTCATGTGCAATTCATGGTTTAATCTATGTGCAATTGTTTTAGCACTGTAATTTATCTTATCTTTTATGTAAATACAATGCAACTTGTTTGTTTGTTTGTTTGTTTGTTTTGCAGTAAATCCATTCATCATTTGACAGACAGTCAACCAAGCACACTCACATTCACACCTATGGACAATTTTATGTTGAGGTTAATTGGTGATTCTAAATTGTCTGAAGGTGTGAATGTGAGTGTGCTTGGTTGTCTGTCTCTAAGTGTAGCCCTGTGATAGACTGGTGACCTGGCCAGGGTGTCCCCTGCCTTCACCCTATGTCAGCTGGAATAGGCTCCAGCCCCCCCTCGACCCTAGTGAGGATTAAGCGGTGTATAGATAATGGATGGATGGATGTGATAAGTGATTGAGTAGATATAACAAATTGGACCACAAAAACAAAAATATCACGAGACAGCCTCATCCAAATAGAACAGAGTGCTCCAAATGCACTGCTGCACATAAAGTTGGAATAAAATATTTTTTAACCTCTTCTCATGAAATGATTGTGACAATGCGATTTATTCTTGATAGATAAAGTGTATATCATCTCAAAACCTTATTGATATTGCAATACATACAATACATATCACATTAATTTTTTTTTTAATCACAACTAGCTTTTACAAACTCTGTATTCAGGCTTAAACAAAGTTGGGGGTGTTGAACAATAGGAGTAAGGGTTTTGTTTCAATTTTTCAACCTTGGTCATATAACAGGAAACACATTTTCAAGGGGATTCCATGCATAAGAATGTCCAATATTACTCTTTAAAATGTCACTCAGTCACTAATATTAAGTATGGCCACCCCTGACATGGATCAATGCGTTAAGACATCGTAGCATACTGTCCACAAGCTTATTGATGGTGTCAATGGGCAGGGCGTCCCACTCTTCAGTCAGATCCAGAAGTCAGAATTGGTTTCACCTGGTAACTGGGACTCAGTATGGAATCACTGGTTACTGGTCAGAAGTGATTACTGATGGTGAGTGTTTTACTTGGGTTGTTCTCATCCAGGAATCAGAGACAGAATTCACATGCTTTTTAAGTGGCCCATAAACACTTCTGTCCAAAGGCTGCAGCCTGTGTGAGCAGTGAGTTGGGAAGGACACCATAATGATGCCATTTGCTTTAGCAAAATTCAGCCCATCAGTAGAAAGATGTGAGCAGTGGTTTTCCAGAAGAAGTAAGCAGGGCTTCTCCTTTGAGCACTTGGCATGTTCCACAAAATGCTTTCATCCACCCTGTGGGATTTGCTCCTTGTTTGCTGCCAGGCGGCCCATTGTTGAAGACGTGATCACAAAAGTGCACCTGAGGAAATATAAAGCAGGGAGGGATGCTGTTCCCTGTGGCTGTGACTGCACAAGCAAATGTCACCAGGGAACCCCTTTCACCAGATGTCAGTGACCCCACCTGCTTGAACCCACGCCTGCACTTGCTCTGGTGAGGCTAGTTGTCTCTGGTTTTCTGAGAGAAAGTGAAGGATGCTGCTTTCAGAAGCCTGTAAACCACTCACCGCTGGCTTTTCTTTGTCAGACCAAGCGTATGGAAATTGCAGGTCCTATGCCACTGCAAATTCGTATGCCAGCTTTCTCACCTCAGTTGGAGACAAACCAAAATAGATGTCAGCTGATCTTTTAATATATTTATCAAGCTGCAGTTCTAACTCTGCGCTAAAATCCTGCCCTAGTGGTTTGTACCCAACCACTGTAGTTAGGACAGCTGTCTGACTCTGTATTTTGACTGGGGTGAATGTCTTGCAGTACTGAGCCAAGGTACGGTAGTTGACATTAAAATCCTTTACTGTACTCCTGACTGATTTATTAGCTAGGGTCACCTGTCTGACTGCCCTCAGCATCACATCAGGTGCTGCACTGCCATTTTCTGTTTTTCTATTGTAATTTCTGAACATGTCTTCTCGCTTTTGTTGAAGTTGAATGAAGATAGTTGTGGATAAGCACACTCTGTGTTAATTTAAATCCTTCTTGAACTTGTTATTCTGGTGTAAGCTGTCACATGTGAGAACTAACCCCAAAATGACTGAGACATGTTGCCCCAAATTGACCTGCTAGTTCTAGCTAAAAGTTAGCTTCAAACAGAACAATGACTGAGGTATGACAGG